GACTAGATGCAATGAGCATGTAACCTTCCCTTTCCCCCACTGTCGCAGTGGACGACGACGCGACCACCAAAGGGACGGCTCCATCGTCCCGAACGTCGGGCACCTCCTCCTTCTTTTCCGTGCCGCTGTCTCCCTCCTGCTTGTCGTGATTCCTGGAGTCTACCTCTGCAGCCAGGGGAGATGAAAGCTGTGCAGCGTCCTGGCTGTCTGGATTTTCATCCTGGGGAGACGGCTGAGATTGCTGCTGCGAATGGTAGTCGTCGGCCTCGGGAGTGTAGAGGAAAGAGCGGAGGTTACGCATGCTAGCGTCCGTGCGTATCATCTTATACGGCAAAAGCGCCTGCCTCTCCTTCCTCTTGGCTTGTACTGCTCCTTCTCCGTCTCTTCCCTCGATGTCCTTGTCCTCAATCATTGTCGAGCGGTCATCTCCTTGTTCTAGGGTGGGAGGACCTGGTGCTCCAATCACCTGAGTCAAGTCCGTCGGCGGGGCGAGCCCTGCGCAGCGGCAGCGGAGGATGGGGGGAAGGCATATTCGTATTTCGAATTCTGAGGTGATCAGGCGGCTTTTATAGGTCAAGGGCCCAATCCCTGATCCCTTTCTGCTCCTCCCTCTCTCATGTCCTCCGTCTCCCCTTCCCGCCTTTTCGCACCTACCATGGGCAAGGCTTTTCCCGTAGAAGGTTCTCGAAGTATTCGCGCCTCTCAGCAATGCCTCGAGGCCCGCCGCGAGCTTCGAAAGCAGCTCGTCCTCGTGCAAGAAATGAACCTGACGGCATCAGAACGAAAGGGACGATAAGTGAGGGAGTGCAAAGGCAGTCTACAAAAGATGAACGGGCAGCCACGAAGGCAAGACGAGCAACTCTCTCCGCGTAGCCCAATACTTGCTTGGCCCGCATGAAGCCAAGGTCGATAAAAGGCACAGTCATAACAACATCGCAGTTGCCCTTCTCTCCCCTTGCTCGCTACCCGTCTCCTTTCCTCCGTCCGTCTTTCCCTCCTACCTCTCGTTTCGTCGGGTGGACGTTCACGTCGACATGAGCTGGAGGGAGGTCGAGGGCGAGGTAGAGGAAGGGGTGGGTGTGGGTGGGTAGGATCGGGGCGTAGACGCTCTCCATTATTCGCTTGATGGCTGTGGACTCCACCTGGCGATAAAATAAAGAAATGTAGGGGGGTGGAGAAAGGAAGAGATGAGGATGACGGCGGCAGGGTTCCTCTTTGCGTTCCAATAGAAGGTCACGGGCAAGGAACGGGAGGAAAGGCAAGACGAGGGCCGCGAGAGGACAAGGAACTCACCATCCGGTTGTTAATGAAGAGCATAAAGACGCCTTTCTTCATGTTGAAATTCGCGTTGGAGACGTAGCCGTGAGCCTTGAAGGATAAGCCCTCCTCCCCTTGAGCCGATCGCACTCCTGCGTTCCCCCTCCCTTCTTCCATGCGCTCTCTCCCGCTTTCCACCGCCCTCTCTTCATCTTTGCTGGGCGACGTGGGCGCACCGCTTGCCCCCTCTCTCCCGCCTTCCCTCCTTTCCTCCGACGAGACATTGAGTTCCAGCAACTCACGCCCCAACACCTGACCGAAGGCCACCTTGATGGCACCGAGCACGGAGGCGCCTCTCTGTGGCGTATAAAGGTCTGGCCGGGCTTGGCCTTGCTGCAAGAGGGGGAGAGAGAGAGCGGGCGGAAAGAGGGAAGGACAGGGTCGTGAGTGACCATTCTGTGCGTCTGTTTGTGAGTTAGAGGAAGGGTAGTGCAATTCCGACAACGACGAGAGGAAGCCAAAGCTATTGATGGAATGATCAAGGGGGCATAGAGGGGAGAAAATGAAAGGGGGAAGTACCTTTCTGCAAGTGAAAGAGATGCCGTCTTTCCCAAAGTGAACGGCGTAGCGCGTGACCACGTCCAGGACGGCACGATAGAGGTCGTTCGGGTTCTTCAGAGCCTGTCGGCGGGTCTGCATATTGTAAAAGAGGTCCTCCGCCTAGAGAAGAGAAAGAAAGGAGAGAAGAAAAGAATCGAAAAGGGGGGAAGATGGAAAGGGATATTATAGAGACTTGCTCCAGAGTGTCGATTGCATCCGCCGACTGCATACCTAGAGCTTAGAAGAGAATGTGTGCCCTCTTTTAACTCAGCACAGGTGTCCAATATCCTCCCTCCCTCCTTCACTCCTTCTCTCCCTCCCTGCCTACCGTGATCGTCGTCCCATTCGTGCCCGCACAGGGCTGCGGCTTGGCGTTGCCCCCGACTCCCACCCCGGGAACTAATTTTCCGTCCTGGAAGCGGGCTTTGTAGGCGCAGGGACTGTCGCGGGTTTTGCTGGTGATGGAGACACGGGCCACGTGGGTGATGCTGGCCAGGGCCTCGCCGCGAAATCCGAAGGAGGCAATCGAACGCAGGTCTTCGAAATGCCGGAGCTTGCTTGTGGTGAACCTCTCGCAGAGGAGGGGGAAGTCGGTCACCTGACAGGCAGGGGGAAGCATGAAGGGGTGAAAAATACCGAGATGAGGCTTTGGGTGGATCATGAAATGACGACAGTGGGAATGGAACGTCCTTTGAGACAATGAGAGTAGAGGGGAAAATGCGAAAGCCTAAACCCAGAGACAGCAAGTCCGTATGTAAACAAGCCTCACAGCTTTAACGTTTGCATTATATCAAATCCAGGACATTCAACCTTCCTATCCATGCCAAGAGTATTTTTATGGGCACAGAGGGATTGAAAAGCGGCCCGCAACCGCCCATACACGACCAGGAGGCTTGACATGGCCCTCAACCTACCCGGATCCCGTGACCGTCGTCCTGAATCTGAAGCAGCCGCATGCCTCCGTCTTTCACCGTCACCACGATCGACTTTGCCCCCGCGTCCAAGCTATTCTCCACGAGCTCCTGGTAGTATGGTAATTTTCGTTCAAAATTACGGAAAAATGCGACTTCACTTAGCATACTGCAATGTCACCATTTTTCGTCACAGCCTCCGATTCAACGACGTCCTTGTCATCTTTTTCATACCCCTTGGTCAAGTAATTGATTCACTCCATACATTTTGCTATGTGCCTCTTTCAAATTATCGTCTCTCCCTTCCTCACCTTTACGGCATTGGCTGGCTTGGCCACCACCTCGCCGGCGGCAATCCGGTTCACGACATCGGCGTCGAGACGCCTGATGCAAGGCAAGTTTACAGAATCAGTGTCTAGGGTATCCTTCTGAGCGCTGCACAATGTATTTCCAGTAGATTTCCCAGAGCTTGTACCATCTCCCCCACTCATCTTCACCAGGATAAGCACTAGACCGCGAGAGCAGGTAGCAACCCTATGGAGATATGATGAAGCGCAGTGACCGAAAAAATGGAAGAAAAGTCAAAGCCAAGGGTTCCTAAGTTGAACAACTTCTTAATAAACGCGCATTAGACCATGACTCTGCCGCTTTGGGTTGTTACGAATGTGCATGACTCTTGTCCGATGCCTCAATTAGCTCGAGGAAGAAGGAAACTTGAGGCTTGATGGGATTTCTCTGATTTCACATTTCTCAGCTTATTCATATGCCATTTCCAAATTCGCCCGAGAGAAGTTGCTCAGCATCTGAGAGCATAGAGAAGATGTTCTCGCGTCCCGTGCCCATGCATTGCAGGGCCCAATGTTCCAAGTAGAGGGTCTCCTCGACCTCCTCCACATCGGATTCCGCGATCGTCACGAACGGCGTTCGTCAACCTCCTGTTTTGTCCTACACAGCAAAAACCGGGTTTCCTGGTCTTTCGCCGTTAGCACTGGCGAAAAATACATCAAATTCGATCTTTTTGCTGGTATGGGAGAGTATCTAATGTGAAGAAAGAAAAGTTTTCGACCCATGTAGCTATATGCAAGACGTACTTGAGAAAGGTGTGATGTATCTGTAGTTGCGATTCATTCCAAAATTGAACAAATTGAGCGTGAGAATAAGCCTATGAGAACCTGTTGCTCCATGTAGACTTTGACTCTCTTGTGAGAAGATTGTAGTTGACCCAGCAAAGGTGTGGACATGGTACAAATTGCGTCTGGGGCGCAAGCGATGGATCCTGGACCAAACGACATGTACGTTGATAGCGATATTGACAAGGCACTGACAGTGCTTGCGACGAAGATGCGAATGAACGTAAAAAATGGAAGAGCATGATTTGATGTGAGTAGAAAGGGCTAAAGAGGACAACAATGGGCTAATTCATGGCCTGTCTCCCAGGTATGTCCTCGGCGACTAGATGCAATGAGCATGTAATGGTTGAGGTTTGACACTTGTACCGACTCTCCTGATACGCGCTCATTACAGTCATGTTGCAATCAGAAATTGGACATTACACGAACGAGAAATGAGTTCAATTTGAGACAAGTCGTCTTCAGTAAAAGGTTTGACGTATATTGTTGCAAAAGTTTGATACTTTGTTTTGTCAACTGCCTACCTTTGTACACTAATCAATATACACTGTGGAACTGATATTCAATGTACAACCCCCCAAAAGGAAGCAAACGATGTGCCCATTCCTTTTCCTTCCGTACTCCCAACATGCGCTTCCATTTTCCCGTTTTGCTTTTATCAAATCGACACGCATTCTTCTAGTCAATGTCTTCCACTCCGCCCTTACTGCTTTCCTCTCCTTCTCCTCTTCCTCCCCTTCATGTCGTCATCATGGTTAAGAGCAGTTGCCACAAATAAGAATGACATGTAGAGGATAGAAGAATAGGCATTGAGGACGGAGAATCCCACAGGCTATGTAATAGACACCATCACAGGTACTGAGGACTTTCGAAGAGGAACCCGGATACGGAATGAAGGCATGTAGACATTGAAGACGACTACAATTTTTCGTATTTTTCTGGCTATAACCTAAGGCTTTAAGACTGAGCTTTGAGAGTGAGGAAACGGAAAGCTTCAATAAAAAAGACAGGAAGAGAGACAAAAAATAGAGAGGGAAAGATGTGTAGGTAGGTAAAGCAAGGAAAAACAAAGGAGGAGAGAGAAAAAAGAGATGGAAGAACGAGGGAGAGTGGGAGAGGAAAAAGAGGACAGAAAGAAAGAAAGTAAATAATGGGAGGATAAACAGAAGATATAAGGAGGTGCGGAGAAGAAAGGAAGAAGAGATAACAAGAAGACAATTGCAGGAAAAAGGCGGTCCGCGCCATCGGTCTCAGCGCACTGTCTCAAGCCTCAGGTAACAACCGGAAGAATACCAAAAATCGCCGGCTTGCTCGATGTCTACATCCCTTTCCTCCGTATCTCATATCCCTCTTTCCTACTCCTCAGTATTTGTTATGCTGTCGGTCCAATAGCTTGTGAGACCCCTCCGTCGTCAATGCCTCATCCTCTGTGCAGCAAACACTCGAGAGAGTCCGACTCAATTGCCGTCCTTTCCTTACGGCGCCGCAGCACGTGAGGCTGCTGCTGCAGCTCACCTTCCTCCAGTTCCCCCTGGTCTTGTTGACGAGACTCTCCCAAGATGCCCCCCTCCCTATTCCCTTGACCGAAGATGCGGTCGATCAGGGCGCTTGCCCTCTCTTCAACCGATTGAAGTCGATCTCCTGGGAAGGATGAGACGTTAAGTGGCTCCTGCTTCTCCTTCTGCCAACGTTGATGGCGACGCCGGGGAGGAGGCGGAGGAAGTGGAGCAGAGGAGGGAGGTGAAGGCGGGAGAAGAGGCGCTGATACGAAGGACGTGTGCGTGCACGAAGGAGAAAATGGCACGCAGCAGGGCACATACTTGACCGTACGAGGATGTTTAGTTTGGAAACGTAGTTCCTGCGGGAAGCCAGTATCGTGTCATTTCTGTGTACAACGGGTCCCAGAAGGCAGCCAAAGAAAGAAGGGAAAGCACTGGTCAGGAAAGAGGGCATCGGTACATTCTGCTTTTGCAAGGCGGAGAATCACGGTGTAGCGGAAAGACCTAAAGAGAGAAGAAAGGAGGTTGCTATGGCCTATTGTTTATTTATTCACACATAAATAATCGAAAAAAGGGAAGAGATAAATATTTCTAGGATTTTTCCGGTGTCAAAATGCTAAAGTAGTCACAGTCATTGGCCTTCGGGTTCTCTGTCTTCATCTTTTCTTCTTTCCCCGAGCAGTCTTTGAGAGTCGATAGGCACAGAGGCAAAGGCTTTCAAAGTATTAAAAAGTAGAGGGGCTTTCAAAGTATTAAAAAGTAGAGGAAATTATGTCAAAACTGTGGATTTAGTCTTAAAATATCAAGCGCCTTCAAGGTTGGCAAAGATCTCTTTGGTCGAAGTTCGGGTGGGTCCAGGCGTATAAAATTTGATAAGAATAAGTCATGAGGTACGTGGTGTGAAGAGGAAAGCGATAAGGTTTTTAGTAAAAGATAGGAAGAAGTCAAGATAACGCTTGAATGATGGCCCCTCTCGTGAGCTCGTCGCTACAACGATGCAACTTGGGGCAATTGCTAGAATCTGAAATGATTTTCACAACACCACGAGTCGCATTCTTTTTATTATAGATTCCAACGAAGGGACTGCTTGTAGCTTAAGGAACTGCTCTCTTTTTAAGCGAGACAGGTCAAGCCTTTGCTGCTTTCCCTACACCGCTCGCACATGGTTACACGGTAAAAAGCATTGCGCCATCCATAACATACTACTCTGGAAACAAAGACGCATTTTTGTCCCATGCACAAGAAAAAGTCACCAAAAAAATGCATTTGGGATAAATAGGCTGGGAAAGTTGTCTAAACATTGATACATGTTTATCCGCAGAGACACAGATGCAACTCTTAATGCAGGATGAATGGATGTTAAAGAACACCAGATGTAGAAAAGGCATATGTTTTCTGGGCCTCCTCCGCAAGGCAGTCAGATGCAAAAGTTTCACAGAAGGCTCCAAGCTGCCCGCGTGCACGCATGCTTACATCCGAAGATTTTGAAGAACCGTTATGACGTTTAAATAATGCTCCCCGGCGAAGCGCGAAGGGTGCTTAAACCTCGGTTTCGTGATTATGGTTTACACGCATTACTGGGGTTACAGATGAATCATTTTTTTGAGAGGCCAGGACGGGCAAGCGAGGGGTATTTAAGCTTTGGTCGGACTTTTAACCCGACGAAATGATGACCCTGACGGAGAGTTAGAGAGAGACGAGGCGGATCAAGACGGATGGGAGGGAAAAGGTTCATAACACCATGTGCAACATTGTTTGATCATTCCCTTTCTTTCAGCAGGCATAATTTTCCAAGCTTGATCATACCATTTGAAGACAAATAGATTGAAAATGTAACTATTGTGTGACAAAAAGGCTCTACTCGTGGGTGGATTGCCGACGAGGCGCAGTGAAAGTTAAGGTGAATGAGGCCGGCCCACATCGAGCCACGCCAATTGCCAGTGAAGCCACCACACACTTGCGACAAGCGCTGTATTTACATAACTGTGCATTTACACTTTTGAAGGATAATTCGGTATCTAAATCGGATCTCATATTTGAAAGTATTACTTACTCATGTACCTCTCCTGGATCCTTTTAAGCAGGGCAAGAGCCTCGAGCGACCAGCCTGTTACCATGACGACGCGGAGCAGCCGTAGCAGCAATAGCGGTGTCAAAAATGACCAAAGTAGTGGTAATAATATCCAGCGTACTGCTTCTAAGGGGGGTCCAACCATACAACGTGTCGTTGATATGCTTTTTGATACTAGCCGTGCGGCCAAGGAGCAGCTGGAGGCCGAACACAAGGAGCATCTAGGCTGGCTTGCAAATGCTTTGAATCATCTCCGGACGCGGGTGCTTGCGGGTGAGATGGATGAGGCGGCTGTGGAAGGAAAAATGAATACCAGCGATCAAATATCGGAGGCTAGCGGTGCAGAGCAGCACGTGCGACAATCACAAAGAAAGAAGGAGTATGCCAGTCGGCCCCGCACCTCGAAAGGCTTGCTCGATGCATCCACGGACGAGGAGGACGATAATTTCTCGATGGCCTCCACCGTTGTGGCTGACGAAGGAAGTCAAGTTGGTTGCGCATCCCGTCGGGGTAAGCGAAGACACGCCGCTGCGATGAAAGACGACCACGAGGACGGTATTGAGCACGAGGAAGGGAGCGATAGCTGCGCGGATCAGATCGAAAGTGGCGACAAGTCAAAGCTTGCCCAAACCCTAGTACCCAGTAAATTGCGAGTCGTAGATTTGCGACGAGAGCTACGGGCGCGGGGTTTACCTTCGTCGGGCCTGAAAGCGCAACTGGTGGAGAAACTGGAAGCGGCCCTGGAAATGGAAGACTTGGAGGGAGAGAAAGAGCCAGAGCTGCCCGAGATTCTTGAAGGAGACGAGGAGGA